CATAGTAAACTTACAATACACTGAGACACGTGTCGAGTCCTACACAACAGGTAACTGTAATGAAACACCATGGGACCTAAGCATCCTAAATTAGCATAAAATGAGGACATTAGTGAGGGAGGGGGGAAATGATACAATGGATTATTTTTTAAATGTTCTGAGTGCCTTCAAAATAAGTCAGCTGCCCTTTTCTGCCATCATAACCCAGAACCACATCATCACTGCTTATTGAAAGCTAAAATAAGACCCGGCATTAAGGAAATTCCATTCGACATAGAATTCTTTAAAAACTACATGCTTTATCACAAACTGAAATAAAATGCTCTGAAGTTTCAACTGAGTTATTATGATTTTATCCTCCAAGACGATATATAGCACTTACGTTTGCTGCATGTATATACAAAGATATAATTCACATATACCTGAAGTTTTTTTTTCTTTAATTGCTTCTTTAGATTCATTTGATTTGATATTTATGATTTGATCTTCTACTACATTTATTACTACTTCCTAAATGTATTTCTCAGTTTAACACAAAATATTTTGAGTGCAAATTTCATACCTGAGAGCACTTTTTTTTTTTACTTTTTCAAACTTTTTCCGAAGTCTGTATTCTCTCCCTGGAATTAATTGCTCTAACGAAATCCAAGCAGCCCAGAGTCAAAAGGAAAATTATCACCGTCAAAGACAAATATATTTTCTTATATATATATAGCTCATTCTTACCCAAACATCTCTTCCAGCTGTGTAGCTTTTTAATCCACCTCCTACACTCTATTTATACAAACGGACTTGGGCCAGAATTCACAATCTCCCAATTAGCCCCAGGAGCTGTCATGCACGTTCAGCCCACTGAGGGCTCAAGGAGCTGTGCACACTCTTTCCCTCCTATCTAGTGACAGCCACCCTGGCTTTCTAATTGCATATTTACTGTGTAGTCAACACAGTAATAGGCATTTTAGAAACTATAAATTTATAAAATATCAGCCCTGTCCTCAAAATTTATTTGCCTCTAAGAATTCATCTGAAAAATAATGTGCATAGTTGCAATGATATAATACAACATATAATTCTTGTTACTTATTAAACCTAAAGTTTGTGTGCATAAAAAGAAAAAGAAGATTGCTACCAAGAAAAGAATGAAAATATTTCCTGATAATGCAGACCAATTAATAATAATAAATATGGTGCTAGATAATGAATCTAATATTTCTAATTAGAGAAACTAGGTAGTAATCATAGCAGTTAGATTTACAAATGAGTTTGCCTCCTGCAAAGATTACTGCAACACATTATTTTCCTTCTAAAGTGAAATAAAGTAAGAATTGAATCAACTCACCTAAGTGCAGAAGAATTTGACTTATTCATTTACTAAAGCTTCTTTGCAAAGATTAATAGACTCCAGAAAATTTCCTGCTGAGAATTCAAATTTCAAATATTA